CCTTTTTTTTTTTTCTCTCTCTATCTCCATATCTCTCGATCTCTCTGTTTTATCATGATCATTGTTCTAATAATTATTTACCACCACTATAAAAAAATTGTCATATTCCAACGAAAAATCATACGGTAATATATTCTAATGAAAATTCCAACGAATATTTTAATGGTATAATTTCCGTTGGAATGATTCCAACAAAAATATCTATATATATATATATAAAGGTTTGATTATTTTTTAAATAGTAACTATTTCTCTAAAAAAAATATATTTACTATTTTAGAAAATTAATTTAACAATTTATGGTATATATCAAATAATCACTTATGGAAATTGAGGCTCATTATTTAACAAATAATTATGCCATATTTTAAGATACCTTAATTACTTAAATCAGGTGAAGTAATTAATATATGGTATAAAGTGGACGAATTTATTTTCGGTATTGATGGTTGTTTCTATGGAAAATAAATTAATCAATATATGGTATAAAGTGAGCAAATTTATTTAAGTTATTTGATAACTGTTTTTTGTTAGGAAATTTGTTGAAAAATTAATCAATACACGATGTACTTTTTTTGTAGAACGCATGCCAATATATTGGTTTTTAGGCGTGTGTTTCAATTTTTATTTCAATTTTTCATATGAATTAATATAATAAAATTATCGTAACTCCGACAAAATAATATGAACGGATATTTTGATATAATGTGCATCTATCGATGTTTTTTATAGAAAAAGTTCTTGTGAAATGCATTGTTCATTTTTTTTTTAGCATGATAAAAAGTGTATTTTTTTGGCATAAAAATTCTTTTGACTGATTGTTTTTACTCAGCTACTTAACTTTTTTATTTTGATATTTTATACAAAAATAAATTTATTTTAATTAATGAAACGATATAAAATTTTATATTTATAATTATTATTCACATAGGTTTTTAAATATATAATAAAATTTTACCAAAATAATTATTTTATGGAGAAAAGTATGTATTTTATATATAAGTTTTATATTTATACTTATTATTTTCAAGCAATGGTTTAAGTTTTGGGGGATTTGATTGGTCGGAAAAAGTATGTATTTTATATATCTATTAGCGCATTTTTATATGCTTAATTTTTATCGCACTTATATATTTTTCGACTCATATATATTTATTAGATGGATCCAAGTGCTATAATATTTTTATGATTTATTTTCAGAATATTGAAGTATTTTGATGACGTAAAACATTGGACGGGAGTTCACGTGATCCATTAATGGAGCATCCAATATCAGCCATTATATGGACCCAAATCCACATTAGTTTAAGTGGGCCTAGCATTGAAATAAAATGGCTTGATGGCTTAAGAGAAAGGTGGCAGTCCAAAGTTTTTGAAGTTAGGTAATTAAGGGAAATTTTTATTCATCCCACATGAAATTAAAGTAATTTTAATTTACTATTAACAAACAAATAATTTGGTAGATACCTAATAGACCAAAAAAATTTACGTGAATGCCTAAAAGTCAGTTACCCAGTGTAACATCCTCCATTCCATATCTTATGGACGTGATTTCTGCGATGGTAACAGGAAAAAGAAACAAAAAGTACCAAAAAAGGCTTCATCAGATTTTCTGTGATTTCTTACGATCTCATGATTCAAAATCGCTGCACTTACGGAAAAGAAAAAAAAAATACTGGTATTCTGTAAAGTTGACTATTGATCCCCCATGTGTTAGAGGTTTCTACTGATTAGGCTTTGTTAATTTAACAATATTTTGATTCTGCACGATAACACTCTTAATCTGAGCAGTCACTTTGGAAGTGGCATAATATTTCCGAATCTTGGTACTGTTGCTTGAACAGAATTACTTATGTGATTAGTTTTAGCCCACTTCTGACTTGTGGAAATTTATTTTTTTCCTCTTTAAATGTCGATCTATCTGTTGTCTTTATGAAACTGGATTATGTTTACTCCTATGGCTGAATAATGGGGCAGACAAATATAATTTCAGAAAATCATGCAACTTAGTATTGTATTACAATATCCTCATCTATGATTTATACTTGTATTACAATATCTTATGGCTGAACAGGTGATAGTATATTTCAGTGATATTTAGTTATATATTTTGGTATATATATTGTATCATTTTTTCCGGAGTTTTTAGTGATATTCTAATATTTAGTATATTTCAGTGATATTTGGTTATATATTCTGGTATATATTTAGTGATATTTCAGTGATACAATAACTGCCATGTACAATTTTAATGATTTTTTATTTCATGAATGTTTGGTATTTATTGATACTTCAATATATTTTTATGAATTTAATTAGATGTTTAAACATCTATTACGTTGTTTTTCAGAAATTTATTTTTCTTTTTTTTTTCTTTTTTTGCATCTTGTGTAATTTTGCGTAAAAATATAGTTGAAATAAACTAAAATATACTTGGAATATAGTCAAAATAGATGTTTTACATTATAGTGTAAATTACAAAATGCAAAAAATTACAAAGTGGAACATACCTGGAATATAACTGGAATATAACGTAATATATACCTGGAATATACATGGAATATAACGTAAAATATACCTAGAACATACCTAGAATACATAATACATACATATAAATCAAATTAAAACATATAATACATATGAACTGAAACATATAACTGGAATATAACGTGAAATATAATATTAGATATACCTGGAATATAATATTAGGTATATATCAGATATATCTGGAATATAATTCATCTTAACATTGTATTAAACAAGAGCAATGAACCAACTAAAAAACTTAAAATTTACACCTCAAAATTCTTCCCCAAAACCCAAAAAAACCCACAAAAAAAAAAGAGACGAAAAAAAAGAAGTGGAACTAATGTTAACCATGAAACCCCTCCATTAATCAAGAATGCCAAAGCCCTCCCCAAATCCCCTTCAACCTACTAGTCGAAACCCTCCTCATAATCTTCTTCGCGTCCAACTCGTCTTCCTCCTCCGCGAGCCTCTCGACATTCCTCAAATAACCCGACCTCATCATCTTCTTCCTCGCTCGTCCACTACTTCCCGCCAACGACACCAATATCGACAACAAAAGCTTCTTGTCGGAAGTCGTCTGAACTGGGAGATGAACTAGATTTTTGCATTCTAGTCTTGTCGGAAGACTTCGACTAGGATTAGGGTTTTTATATCTTTTTCGAAAATTAGTTTTTTCTGAACGAGTTTTGGTTGATTTTTTTGGTGGATTTTACGGAGCCGGTTACTTGATCAAATATGAGGTGTGTCGTCGACATCATTTGTCGGATATTTTCGATGAGGATGAGGGAGTTTAGTTTTGACCATTGAAACTTGAATTGGGGAAAGTTTCTGGAGCCGTTTTTTTTTTTGCAGAGTGGTAGGAGACGTGCGGCTTTGGGTGGTGTTGGCAGAAGGTTATCAAGTTTTTTGTTACTTTTTTGTTCCTTTTTTTTAGGTAAGTGTATCTTTAATTCCAATTAAATCTCTCATTAGCATTTAAAAAGTTGATAACGGTTCGTATAGTATGTTAGGTATAATTGAAAATTTTATTTGTTATTTAGGTAATTTTACAAATAAGAATATAAAGGGTCCAAAAATGTTATTAAAATAAAATATATTAGTAAAGGTGTAAGTTCCTCAATTAATTGTTTGGAGAGTCCTCCACTTGGAGGTGAGTCACGCAGCAGAAGGAAAAGAAATAAGAAGTGGGCTAGACATTTACTTGAGGAAACCAATTTGGGCTTGGGAAATTATTTGAAAAGATAACAAAACTTCGCAACAGGCCGTGGAGTATTTAATTGGCGAATTTATTAGAGCCACTTTATTTTACTGAACAGAAGCACACTAGGGATATTCACATATAACTTAAGCAGAGAAAAGAGCCGCAACACAGATATTAGACGCGATAACAGAACAGAGACATACGCAACATAAAAGAAAAAAAGAACGTGCACCCAGAGATACGAACAGAAGAAAAACGAGAGGAACCCGATCAATTGCGGAGGGAGGCCGCATCCGTACACGAGGGAGATAATTAATCTCTCTCTTTTATCTATTATTTATTTTTATTAGTATGTTAGGCTAGTTTTTATTTCTAGTTCCAAGAAAGTCGAACCTTACATACTTGATGATGTTTAATTGATTTTCGTGGTTGATGATTTTAATATCTTTTTGAAATTATTTGTGTTATTTTGAATAATTAACCATGATGTGTTGAGTCTTACATAAGATAGCGAAATTTGATACCAAAGTTGATTAGGCGAGTCAGTCGAGGGTGTAGACGGAACCGTAAAACACTCTACAAGAACTCACATGGAGTGTGAATCAAATTATGATATTCGTAAAGCGGCTGATTTGGTAAGACTTTTAAGATTTGCTGGAATTTCTAAACAAAAAACTTTTACGAAATCTCACTCAAAATCACACCTCCAAAGTTAATCTTAAAAAGTCTAAAATCTAAAAAATTTTAAAATATCACTCGAAATGATTCTCCCACCCCCAAATGGATCCCATGCGAATTTTACGTTAGTGAACACAAATTATTGTGTAAGATAGTTTTGGCGGGTTGATCGGTGATATGTATCTAATAAATATGAATGCTTACTAGGTGAAAGTATCATATTTTCACTTATATTTCTCTTTAAAGTAATATAATTTTAAAAGTATAAATAAGTTAAAAAAAATTATAGTTGCCTAACGTATGACTAACATGATACTTAATGGCAAAAATAATGTTATTCATCTATCAAAACAAGGGAAGGTAAGATTTGTAGCTATTAGAATTCTCCATATGGTGAAGGCGTTATTGTTAAGCTTTTGTTTATCAAAATCACAATCCAAAGTCCACAAAATCAACTTTTTTATTAAATAATAATCACAATCATGTGACTATTCCCTTATCTTCTCTCTATTACAAATAGACATTTCAACTTCAAATTTCGTTACAACTGTTCCCAAATAGCAATAATCAAAACTGTTGGTGATTGATTTTAGACTGTATTACACTTTCAAGTATCATCCTCCATGTTTTTCAAATTTTATTATTTTATTAATTTTAGTTGTTGATTGGGAATAATAATATATAATATGTACAAAAGTAAAATTATTACCTATTTCAACTTTTAATTTTTTAACCATTTAAAATAGCTCAACTTTAATTATCTTGTTGGGCATCCAAGTACAAAAGGCTTTAAATTTGAAAGATTTATTTTTGGCAACAAGTTCAAAAATAATAAATTGAAGATGTGTTCTTGCAAGCATAAAAAAGAAAAGTTCTTATTTATGTTTATTTATATTATATATATTTCGAATCAGTGACGGATTTAGGAATTTTACTCAGAGAGGCCCATTTTAAATGTTAAATAACGAGCTTGTAGTTTATGTCGAAACGATCATTTGATATAAAAATGTGTTTACTTATAAATATAAATATCGATATGTGTACCATCAAGTTTTAAAAAATTTAGAATCCGTATCACCCTCAAACTTTAAAAAAAATAACAAAAAAAAAAAAGATTTCATGTATTTATAATTTAAGTTCAACATCTATAATTTATGAAATAAGTATTGGTTGAAAATTTGATTTAAATTAAACTTTTATAACACATTGCACAACATTTGTGTTGATGAGATTTTATCAAATGACTATTTTTAAAAATAAAAATAAAAATAAAGTTAAAAATATGTGATTACATAAAAAAAGTAATAATTAACATTCAAAATCTAACAATCCAACTAAATACTTGATTTTATAAATCACTAAATCAATTACAATTAAGAGGCCGAAAGAATAAATCATTATAAATATTTTCAAAAAAATTATCTAGAAATGTAAATATTAGGATTGTTAGTATATTTTTCAATAAATTTAAATTAAAATAGCATAGTAACTAAGTTTTAATTATTTATATAGTGTACATATTTCTTCAATATTATCCATTTTTTGTAATGTATATATATATATATATATAATATTTTTTTTTTAAAAAAATCCGGGATGGAGAGAGAGGAAAGAGATCTATACTTACCATGTTTCTAGCTACATTCTTGGAAAGAAATCAGATCAAGATGGACTTTAATTGAAGAAGAGTCCACGCCTAAGGAACATATAAATATACCCTGCTTGAAGATAAAAAGGCTGCTGAGACAATTATTATTCATATATTATTCGAGCTTCAAGTTTTCGTTTTTAGCACTCTGTTCAATTTTCGGTGCTTTTATGCCTCCGAAGACCTGAAGTCATTTTTAGTTTTGGTTTCCTTTATTTTATTCAAACACGTTTGTTTAGTACTTAGGGAGTAAGTACTCTGTTTTGCTCAAGGGAATTGAGTTAGAAAGTTCAGGGGACGTAGCCGGAGAAGTAGTTGGTATATTCTAACATAGTTGTGACTAAGCTAGAAGGGAATTCTAGTTGTTATATGACTGCGCGTCGCAACGCGGCAAATTATAATTTATATTTTTTCTCGACTAACATCTACTAATTAGTCGTAGTGGCGAGTAAGGGTCGATCCCACGAGGAGTGTGAATCAAATTGTGATATTCTTGTACTCATTGAAATTATGAAAGCGATAAATGGTGGGATTGAGTTATGAATCTAATCTATCTAAGAATGAAATGAAATATAAATAAGAAAATAAAATGAAATAAATTAAGAGAAAGCTTCTAGTACACGGTTCTGTCTACACTCTCGACTGACTCGTCTAATCAACTTTGGTATTAAATCTCGCTATCTTATGGAACTACTAGCCCTAGGTAACGACACGGTCTGCTACCCGAATTTTTCCTTATTTTTAATTTAACCGCGAGACTCTCTACGATTAAACCTGACTTCTTGTACAGTCCAAAAAAAACGTTTTCAAGATTTAATACAATTAGCCACTTTACGAATTAGAAAAATAGGCTAGACTAAGTAGTGAACTCAACCACGTTCGTTTACTTAAATATGCCGTATTATCCCCGGTAGTTACTGTTTTCCGGTTGCCTCTTATGAATTAAACACAACAATAATTACGGATTGAAGGTTTAATTCAGCTATAGATATGAAAAGCCTAATCTAGGTGATCAATCTAAATAAGACTCAACACATCACGGTTAATTATTCAAATAAAACAAACAATTCCAAAAAAAATATTGAAATTCTCAACCACGAAAATCAATTAAACATCGGCAAATCATTGGGTTCGACTTCCCCGGAACTAGAAAGAAAATTTACTCAAACATAATAAATAATAAAAGAAGAGGAATAAAATTATCCCCTTTCGTGTGAGGATACTGCTTCCCTCTGCTTCTGTCAGATTCCTCGCGTCTGCTTTTAGTTCGCGTATATTTTCTTTCCTCAACGGTCGTTCTCTCTCTGTGTTATGTCTGGCGGCTCCTCTGTTGCTGTGTATAATCTCTCTTTGTGTTAAAAATTAAGAATTCCAACATGTGCATAGGGAAGCAAATGTTGCGGCCGACCATATGGCGAGCTTGGCATATTCGACTACGATTGGAGTGCATCGCATGGCTTCACCTCCTATAGGTTTGGGAGCATGGCTAGACCATGATCTTATCGGGGTGTCTTACCCCCGACGAGTTCTAGCTTCATACTCTTCTTAGGTCCTTGGCCTCCTCTTTTGTACCGAAAAAAAAATTAAGAATTCCACCCAAGTCCAAGACTCCAATCAATTAAATCCTCATGATATTGGACTCTCTGGCCCACAGAAACTCACACATCCTCCAAACCCACGTGAGTAACAAAAATGTCACGTAATGACCAATTACTTTTAATATTCATCTAGCAATTAATGGGCCTTTGATTTTCTTTCACGTTTGGGCCTAAGTTGGGCTGGTTTGAGGCACCTGGTACTGGCCCACTCATTTCTCGTTCGGTGTCACGCCTATGAAAATATTTTAATATCCTGAAAATAAAATATAAAAATATCATAACACTTAAATTCATCTAATAAATAAATAAGTCGAAAAACATATAAGTGAGATAAAATTAAGCATATAAAAATACGCTAATAAAGATTTAAAATTCAC